TATATATATATATATATATATATATATATATATATATATATATATATATATATATATATATATATATATATATATATATATATATATATATATATATATATATATATATATATATATATATATATATAGACAATTCAGTAGTGTTCGATTTAGGACGACTGTTAGAAGCTTTTGATTTTGCTCAGGAAGCAGTCAGTGAAAGCGAAGGTCTGCCACATATTTATGCACTTGTAAACTTGGAAAATATCAAGTCGAATATGTAAGTCGTCTAAAGAAAAGTTTTTTTTTACTAATATTTTCCGTCATTCCTCACTATCCATGATAATGTCCAATCATTTGTGCAATATATCTTGCCATAATAACGTGAATACACGTCTGACCGTCACAATAACAGTCACATTTGAGGGAGTCCATACGCTACCCTGTCTAAGCATTCAATCGATTTCCTCTTATTTATAATGAATTGGAATCATTAGCAGCTCAACAGGTGGGTGGATTAAGAGTGGTGGTTTAATAGTTGACATCGTAGATTTTCTCTCATGAAACTCATTTATGTTACATACATTGTGTAATAGCTCATGTGCCTGGGCATTCGTTGCATTGTATGACGAGCAGTATTGATAATTCTGCTGATAATTTTCATAATCCGTAGCATTTATCACAACAGTTCAAATTTCAATGAGAAATTGGTCTTTTGACGTTTGACAGCCTTAAAAATCATTTTTTGCAGTATGGATCAGTGGCATTGGGCTATGTTGAATGATGTCAAGCGTAATGCTGCTTACGCTACTGCTATAGAACTTGTAGCTAACTGGAGACCAGAAAGCCGTGTTCTTGATATTGGTACAGGTACTGGTTTGCTCACATCAATTGCACGCAGGTTAGCGTACTTTTTGTTTAATTTTGAAATTAAATAAATTCTGTACAAAAAATCAGTTCCAGTTGATTACTTTAGCTTATGAGATTTAAAAAAGGGGCTAATTCAATTTTATGGATAGTAGTTTTTAAGTTGTAGTGCAACTTTGAAATTGCACGCCATTCAACCTATGCTTAGTTAATCATAGATTCAAGCTTAGGATACATTGATTGTCTGCTTTGAATTTTTATATTTTTGGTTAATACATAAGCTGCAAATTAAAAATAAATTTAAATTTAAAATGAAACTCTCGAGAACATTTCTCTCCCGTTTTTTTTTGGATGGATAATGCAATAAAGCGGTTTTTCTTTTTCTTTGATAACTGGCTTTAAAGGCACTTCAAACGCGATGTCTACTGTTGTGAAGTTGACGTGAATATGTGCGACATTGCTGAAAAAATACTGAATGAGGCAGTGATTCGTAAGCATTCTTCCGAGGTTACCATCGAAGATGTTGGCTCTGAAAAGGTGGTAGTTGCTTGTGGTGCAAAAATTAGATAAGTTCAAAGATATTTCGAGATGTATAATAAATTTCTAGTTAAAAATTTTGAAGTAATGAATAGATGGTCTTTTTCGGAAGAACTTGAGAACTCTTTTTGACTCCAAATTATTCATCATAAATTTGTTAGCTTGGTGTTTTATACATAGTGTTCGTTTTGCAGATAGATGTAATAATCACCGAAACAATGGACTGTGGCTTATTAGGAGAAGGTATTGCATGTTCGTTATACGATGTACAAACACGAATCTTGTCATCGTCACCAGTTATTGTCCCTAGATGTGTAAGAGTTTCGCGCTACGCGCCTTATTCTTAATATTCTGAAATGTCTAGGTTTCACCTTATTCTTTTTGGATGGGATAGGATATATAAATCTTTCAGGCAACAGTATATGCGTGTATTATCGAGAGTGTAGCAATAATGGATGAACATGTTGCAGTTTTCTGTGGACGTCGTTTTGCTTCTGATAGCGTTACTGCTTCGTATAGTATATTTTTCTTTTCTGTTTTTATTAAATTATTTCTTGAATAATTCAATGTCACATATTTCCCGGTTTCATGCATAATATAAATTAGACATCCATTTTGAATTACGTTTTCTTGTTTGTTAGGAATGCTTATCATTACTAGCAGTTGAGCTTCAGGCTACTTTTTAAATGATTATAGGCGCTTACGAAACATTAGAGGAGCTAGAACCATACTGGTGTTGTTCAGCGGCTGAAATTCGCGGAGGATACAAAATTCTGAGCAAAACTATTGAAATATTTGCTGTAAATTTTGACAGTCGTGCAGAGTTGGATAAAATTGTTAACGATGGTACCACGGAGCTGCGAATGGCTCCCATAATACGTGATGGTACTGCACATTGTATCATGGCCTGGTTCAGGTTTGTTACTTTCATCAAACGCATCGGACGTTTACTAGAAATACTGTTAATTTCGATGAAATATCCCTCTCAATTAAAATTTTAATTACAACGTCCATGAGCATGGTGGATAAGAAAGAAGAAGATGGGAGGAGAAAGTCTAGCCTATTGAAAAGGAAAGAATAGTATTATTTATGTGATAATCTTTAGATTATATTGAGTTGTTAATTTCCGATTGCTTTAGCTATGTTTCGCTTCAAAATTGCTCATCACCATTAGCTTATATCACAAATACTGAAATTTTCGCTGTTTTAAGCTGTGTATTGTTTCCCGGTGCACCAGTTCTCGATACAAGTCCAGAAACAAGTGGCTGTTGGCAGCAAGCATTATATCCATTGCCGAAACCAATACGCTTACATCGAGGCAGCATCTGTACATTGAAGGTTAAAGCTTACAAGGATCAGCTGCTCTGTGCTCTTAGAGACATTGTTATTCCGGAAGATCCTGAAGTTGCCGAAAATGCAAGACAGTCATGCAGCAGTAACTATGATAGCAACACCTCATGCAAAGGGGAGAATGCAGAACAAGACTCAAAAGCTGACAATGATGAGGGCTGCGCATTGCCGTCGAAGCGGACCAAACATGATAGCGACACAACTGCCAGTATGATAATTAGTTATAAGAATTATGCATCGCCCGATACCATTATTGTTCTACCCAATAACGACTTTGCAATGATGAACGACAACCATTTGATACATTTTTTCAAGCGCAGTTTGGCTGATATCCAACGACGAGAAGGGATGTTAAATAAGGAGAGGGATGTCTACATCCTTGATATGACTAATTTGGGTGCACTGTCGATAACTTTGGTGAATGCGTTTCCGGAAATGCAATTTAGTTGTTATAACAATGACGCCCACAAATTGGTCCATCTTTTCTCTCCTCATGTCCATAACTTTGGCTCATTTCCTGATAATCAAGGTCAGTTATCTCCTTTTTTTCCATTTTAAATCAGTTTAATTGAATTTTTATAGAGAAGAAGCAGTGAGCTGGACAAAACTTCTCGATAGCTTTTTTTTGCCTCCTATATATCCTATATATTTGGGTTACTACTTTAAGATAAGGTACTAAATAACTGGACAGTCTTCATGTCAATTTTGATGACAGTAGCTTTCTTCTAATATAAGATTTCTTCTAAAAACGTTGTTAACTTGTATGCTTAGCACCCGACTTTATATCACTACAGTTATGTGTATGTACTGAAATCATGGCAGTTCTAATTTTTTTATTTTCCCATCTAGGATGTTGAGTTGAAATGGAGAGAGACTGAAGATCTTTTTGCCAGTCTTACTTATTTTAGATGATATTGTTTTTCAAGAAACCACTACACTCTTCAGATTCTGTGTCGATAGATGGAAGTACAACTGAGAATGGCTGTCCATTGATATCATCCAAACCACCTCGTACTTATTTTGAGGTAATTCGAAGGAAGATTATCTTACTTGACGATTCATAGGTTATCACTTTTCTCCTTCACCGCATATCTTGTAGGACGCTGAATGTTCGGATGCACTTTTATGCTGGCCAATTAGTTCTCATGGGTTTCTCTTGGAAACATCGCTAAATCGTGTGCTCAGCTTCCGCCTTTCTAATAGGCAAGCGCAAGTTATACCATCAAAGATTTCGGTTATGGGTCAAATCGTGAGCTGCCCTGATATTGTAAAACGATCCAAACCATGTCCTTCGGCATATCAAGGAGTTGACCTCTCAGCAATCAATGATCTCGCCATTTCGTTTTATTATGACATTGAGGTACTTGGATTCTCATTTCAAGTGCACATTTTTGTTCTGAAAATTTGTCATAAGAATGGATTCTTAGGAATTTATGGAAAGAATAACCTTCACTTTTGAAATGTAACCGTTTTGAGACTGAGCTGCTCACGTAAATTCGAATACAATCTGGTTTATTTCAGCCTTCCGTTTTGAAGCATGAAGTATTTTCTAATCCATTTGAACTTTTGGCTTTTCGATTTGACAAGGTTCAGTTTCTTCTATCTGTTTAAACTGTTAAAACATGTGTTAAAACATTCCTTATTTATAGGCAATTATGCCTGGCAATAGCATTCCAAAATAGTTATATTTAAAATTTTTTATGAATAAAATTTTTTAAAATTTACCAAGCTCTTAAAAAACTAGACAGATCAACAAATTTCTTAAGTTAGGCTCCCGTAGTAATTGTTGTTTATAATCTCTTGCTTCCTGATTAATTGACGGATACGTTATTTTAGTACTATCATTTGTACGCGAACTTTTAAATATTAGCTGAAGCCATAAATAATCAAATTTGGTTGTTTATGCTATTCCTGTATCTGTAATTTCTTTGCAGCCAATGCCAGAAAACCCATCGGAAATGCCGGAATTTATTTGCCTTACCGAAGTATCATCGGAAGCTATTATCGGTGCAGATGGTGTAGCCGAAGGTTTACTGTTCTGGTTTGATGTTGAAAGTGGCAAGCAGTTGTACAGTACTCGATCTTCCAATACCCTTGCACGTTGTGCCTTATATTTATTTGACGAAGGCCGTAAGGTATCGAAAAACGATCGTATCTCCATCAAATCTTCTAGTTATCATGGTAATTTGGCCTTTGAGGTGATGTGATGTGGTGAAAACATCCACCCTCTTGATAGCATTCTGATTCATTTTAAGGTTAAAGCTAACTGTAATCACTTCTAAAATGTTTTCTGTCCTAATAATAAAGATCATTCATAAAATTTGTCGTTACATAAATCACCTGAGTAATCATTTCCATAATAACTATGAGATTCGAATTCGAAAGCTTGTAACGACTGATAAATCCAGTGAGGTTGGGATACGATATCATGATGCAGTCATTGTCAACCGTATCGCGAGACTTCCATTTATAAAAATAAAAAATTTTAGTAGATGCACGATTAATATTACTAATATTGGTAATCGTATCGTTAACAGGAAGTAAATTTCTTTAAATTTTGATTTCAAGGGATTTAAAAGGGAAAACTAAAGGATTAGATTAAATTTAAAAAATTTGAAGACTAATCTGAGGAAATGGTAGCTGCGAACAATAAACGTAATTTCGACGTAAATGGTTCTTAATGTGATGATAGTAATAAAATATTGGAGTCATTTTTCTACTCTACACCAAAAGGTCTGTTTTCTAAGTAATTATTATCATTTCAAACATCCCACAAAAAATGTAATTTTCGAGTAGGCGATTTAAGATCGGAAACTGTCAACTGCATCTTTGACCGGCCATTATTAACAGCTAAATTTAATTGCCATTTTTAAACTGTCACTTTTATACAAAGCGAAAAAGTCAAAATCTTTTGGATCCTTACCGAAATCTTTATTGGCCATTTTTATTTGCATCGAAATGACTGATATAGACTTAGATGGGACATTTTTTTTCCGGCACTAAGTGATGCAACTTATCCAAAAATGGAAGCTGTGTCATTTTCCGTTTCATCCCTTTAATATCTTCAAGATGTTTCGGTAGGATCATCATCCGTCAAATATCTTCAGATTGTTCTGATAACATACTCGCTCACCCATTGATGATATATTTAATATAAATTAGACGTGTTGAGAGAATTAATGAAGGATGAAGTGAAATAATTATTAGGTGTTTGGCTCTTTGTGATTCGTACGTACTTCTGTTTCTTTCGGCCAGCAATATTCATTAAATCATTGGCAATTATCAAGCATAATGCGGTGGCCAATACATGTGAGATTTTTGGAACATTCCACCGGTTGTACTGTATTCCCAAATACATTGTCACATGATTAGAGGCTTAGATCAAACATTTATGTGAATAAAATATGTTTTAAAAATTAAAATTTCATTCACTTTAAAGATTTTCAGTACTTCGACATAATTTCATCTTGTCCAATCATAATAGAAATGATTTGTGATGATTGATCACTGTGTGTTTGATGTCTTAGAAATCGTTTGAAATTAATCAAAACATTCAACTGCCATAAATTGAACGATCCAAAAGCTGTCGCTAAAATGATTATTACTGTACATTGCACAAAATACGATGTTGTTGTCTTCGTGTGAAGTGCTGCAAATAAATTGCAAGTTGTAAGTTGGAAGTTGCAAGTTGCAAGTTTATCATCCTAATTTTACCGACACTTACATTCTTTTGCATTTTATTTATGCATTTCATAATCTGTTATTGTTACAGAAAAGGAATAAGTCCAGCAATTGAGACTCTTTTTAATTTTTTCATTATATCCTCAAACCTTGTCATTTTTACCAATGTGCATTCATTTTGTTTCCAGAAAAGGAAAAGAAATTAAATGGTCTAATTCGTAGACTATAGAGTTAAGCCTGAACAAGTTCCCTGTGATTGGAGAAATGGGCCAATTAGGCTAACGAGAAAGATGCATGTCATTTGAACTTCTTTTTTTTTCGTCCTTAAACCACATAATCAATTATGGGGTCGACATATAGCATTTGATATTACTCGTCGACCATCTCTGATTTCCCTAATTAAACGATAATTGTTAATATTTTTTGGCTTTCAAAACGTACATTAACCAACAATCTCAATTTGTTAGACAAGGAATAATTGTATTTTTTTTCTCCAATCTAATTCATCTCTCCAAAGAATTCAACTATTGAATATTTGTAGAATAATGAAGGTTAGGTTAAAGGTCAACAGGAGACAACAGGTAACATTAATAACCAATAACTCTTAATGAACTTGGGTCTTATTATGCAATAATTCATTATACTACTAAGAAGTGAAAGCATACATGAATTAGTGTGCTATTAAATTTTCTCATGAATAACTCTCATCGTATTATTTCCGAAGTTACTAAATGCGTTCTCATTATGAGTATACAAAAGTTTCTTTCTTTTTTTTGAAAAAAAGTTACAATCGAAAACTTACTGTCAAACATCCAATTTAGAACCATAATAATGTAATTTGGTTTGAAAATGAAGAAATATATGAAGAAAAGGTTGAAATACAGCGTAAGAATTACATGAAACCACTGCAAAATACTATTAATTATGCTAAATCTGAGAAGTCAGCAAAAGTTTGAATGGTTTTATATATTTGAAAATTTTGAAACTATTTTATTTGATAAGGAATCAATTGAAATTCCAATTCATATCATTAATATCACTAGGATTGTTCTAATTATTTCATGTAAAATGATTTTTTCTGTGATAACACAAATGCATACGAATACAATCAACGCATCAAATCAGTCACCAGAAAGGTACCTCATAAAATTAACCATTAAACTATCAAGTTTGACTATTTATTGAATTTCCAATAAAAAATATTTTAAATTCCGATAGTAAGATAGAGCAATTCTAACTCTTTGTGCAACTATATTTCGAATATTTCATGTTTCATGTCGTAGCTCATAAATATGGTAGTTCTATTTCTAGGAATAAACGGAAATGATACGGCTGGGATTGTGTAGTCGTGATTACAGAACCGGTTGACGCAAGTCTTTAACTAATGCTGCTACCATTGTCACAGCTATTACCACTTCCGCTGATTCTAATCACATTTACAACTGAACACGGGGTATTATGATTTGTCACTTAATGGTACAAGTTAGCCCGAAGGGATGCCAACAGGCGCAATTTGCCGTTCTGTTCTGTTCTTGCAATGCCATGTTAATGAGTCTTCATTTGCATCCTGATTAAAAATGAAACATAACATAAAATGAAGAACTCATTAAGTTTATCATAATTACTTTTTTCAGTTCCCATTACTTTTATAATTAGTCATTATTACATTTTATGCAGAAAATTATTCGTCAAAAATTCGTCTCAAGAAATTAAAAAATTTCTTATAACCAAAACTCGTTTTAAATCAATATCCATGGAACAGTACAAAAAATGTTTATTAATTAATTTGAAAATATTTTGGAATTGAATAATTTACACTTTTTGAGAATAAAAAAAGCGAAGATTTTCTCAAGTTACCTTCAATTTTTAAAATATATGGAAATTTTGTAAAGGCGCGAAAATGATTGTATTTATTGTTTTGAAAATAAATTGTAAGATAAAAATTTGAATTTTTTCATCCCTCGGCTATTGAACAAGCAAATGAAGAAATGTCGGGTAAATTAGTAAACAAGTGAACAAATAAGATAAATGATAATGATAATAGGCCGAAGAATGATGGACCTGTATAGTTTTGATTTATGATTTATGGTTATTTTGTTGATGTCATCATCAGAGATTTTTTTTTTCACACTATTATTTGTGATATTTTTGATTATCCTTTTCAACAAGTTAATTAAAACAGAAGCTCACCGAAATGCCAATAATAGGCCAAAGATAAAAATGCTTTCGTCGTAATATGCCATAGAGAGTAGTCGAGATCATTATGATCGGAATTATTGTAGTTAATATGGCTGGCCGAAAGTACATGAAAATCAATACCGAAATAGTTGAAGTTGATATCAATCCGGTTATCATAATCAGTTTAATACCGTTCTGTTAATGATACCATCTACAGATTAGATGAACAATCATTTTCAATGCATTTATTGTTAAGTTACGTAGAAATACGTGAGTTAAGTGAATTTTCATTGATATAACGATATGCATAAAATGAATAGATCTTTTAATATTGCTAAAATAAGTTATAATACGAAGTGATATTTTTGATTAGATTAAATATTTCCTACATGATATTAGCGAAGAATTGGTAACTGATTGATTTTTTTTTCCTATCAGTACTGATAGAGAAGCATGAAGAGTAATTACGTAATTACGTAATAAAAAATTACGTGGAACGCTACATAAAAGTAAGTAATTAAACTCTATCAGTCTATCTTGATGTTATCCTGAATAGCACGAATAAGCTATTCAAAATGTTAGACAGTTTATAATTTACCCTATGCAAAATGAAATAATTTTAACAGTTCATTAAAAGTCTAAAAAATCTAAAAAGATGAAAGAGGAAAAACGAAACTCACAAGTAAAGTAAAACAACCAACTGTAGTATTTAAACTAATCATACTATCATTACTGATAATATCATTGGTTGATTTCTCGGGTCGTAATTTTCTTTGCATCCTGAATTCAAAATTTTTAATTACAAAATGATACTGCAAGAATTACATCACGCAAATGAACAGAGGAATAGAATAGTAATTGCAAGATGTCATTTCCGGAACGCTTAATCGATTATAATACAATAAGAAAATTAAATTTTTTTTCTTCAATTCATTCAATTGAATTTGCAACTTTCATTCACTAAAAGTTAGCGTAATACAATTGTTGCTCATAAAAATCCCTAAAACCTGGATTGTGACCAAACAAATTTTTTTTTCTGGAAATGGTACTTCCAGAAGATGCTAAACTTAAACCGATAAATCAGACTTTTCGATCTTTTTATTACTATCAGGATACTATACTTTTGATTTTGCTGTACAATTTCTCGATCTTGTTCCAATTGAAATTCCACCAGAACATGGAGTTGATGATGTTTTAACTGGAAGGTTTTGCTCCAAAAAACCGAAAAGGTAAAATTTAGCTTTAAAAGTTTCGCTGCATTTTGCAATCATTAGAGAGATATTATCAGCATTTCCTTCCTTTCCCACCCCATTCAATACTCTTACATTAAGTTATTCATGATTGTGAAATTTTAAAGTTTCGTTACAATCAATGTGATCAAAGTGTTGAACCATAATTGAAGAACAACAATTAATAGACTTTCAAACATCCATCAATATTTTTTCAAAACTGATCATGTAATCATAGTTTCATTTCACCTTTCAAATTTGCCCTATTAAATATCCATCGGCTGATTTGCAAACTGAGATAATACTGAAAAAAAAAAGAGAAATTAGAGCAATGATGGAGTATTTTCAATTTTTTCATTCATTAAAATGACTGATTCAAAATCAAGCAATAGTAATTAATAGTGACGTACAATTGAATTCCATCTTTTGTAAATTTTTTTTTTTAAATAAAAATATGATATTAGGACATGTCATCAATAGAGATGCAAAGGAATTGTAAAGAATGGATTTATAAGAAAGATTCATTCGAGAATTAACTGCAATTACGCTAGACAGGTTTCATAGCTTACCGCATATTATAGCCAACTGGTTGTTACATTGGCAGCAATAATTGGCGCTGCTGTCTTGAAGAAGACGAAGGAAGAAATGATAAGAAGTGATTTCTTTGAAAAGGAATAAGTATTCAAATGCTGTATTTATTATCACTGATATTATCAATTGGGACTAACTTTTACAAGTTTTATATGTTATGGAAGGCAAGATTGATAAGATGGAATTACTTGTGTTGGAAATTTAAATAATTTCATTTTTGGTACTTTGACAAAATATCGATTAATTTGGGATTTGAGAAATATAAAAGAGGAAGAGATAAAAAATAATTTCAGCGGGATAGCTATTACAATATGATTTTTAGAAAAAGTAAGAAAGAGGAAAGGCTAAATAGAAGATATGTAAAATAACTGCGCAAAGTAAAGGATTTAATGACCAAACAAGAGATGATAGAAATGGAATTTTACATCAGGATCAGATTATGAGATGATAAAACGGGATTAAAAAAGAAGTTGAAAAGAAGAGGATGTTAAAATAATTATGGTTAATTATGGTGGGGAAAAGAAGCAAAGGTAATAAAGTAATTCTCGAAGAAAAGACGACATAGTGTATTCTTAAAGGCACTTTTTATTATGGAAACACTTATTCTGGTCATTAACAAAGTTCGAAATTGAGGCAACAAATTATCCTTTCACTATTATTACTATTATTGTTATTATCATTATCATTATTATTATTATTGTTATTATTATTATTATTATTATTATTATTATTATTATTATTATTATTATTATTATTATTATTATTATTATTATTATTTATTATTATTATTATTATTATTATTA